GGTGGGGGAAACGGTGTCTGTAATAGTGTCAACAATTTTTAAAAAATTAATCCTCTTGTTCCATCTTTTCCCCGAGCTGTGTCTCCCTGTGCCCACCAGAGGGCGTGCTGACCCAGCAAAACCCTAACGCTGCGCCCCAGCCTGCTCTCCTACAGAAAGGAATTAGGATCAGGAGGATGACTGACATCAGTAACCGCTACTTACAGCCCCACTGAGCTGGTCTCGCCAGTGTAGAAGGTGACTAGGGTCCTGTGTTTAGAGGGGAGGAAATGTCCCCGGGAAGGGAGGTGCAGTCAGCCCTCCAGCCACCACCCACCAGCAACCTGGCCTGGCACTGTCAGGGTCAGCACCTGCTCTCCCAAGTGCTGACACTACTGCACTGTGTCATGTCCAAGTGTGTCCTGTGCACCAGCCCCCTCTGCCCATCAGTGTTTTCCCTCGGTAGCTATATCCACTGGCCACCCCTCCAAGTCTCTGCTCCTCGGGTTGTGTGTATCTGTATCCCAGGTCCCATCCCCAGGAGGTGCAGTTCATCACACCAGGAGGGCCTCTCCCTGCCCATCCTGAGGAAGACACAGCAGCCTGGCTTGTCCTCACAGCCCAACTGGATTCTCCTAGCCCCACTCGGGACACCTGGGTGCAGAAGCAGACTAGGGAGCTGCTTAGAGGTGGCCCCCTTGGGCTGCAGGGACCTTCCTGGGACAGAGACAAGGTTGCATGGAGCTGGACAGCATGGGCGTGGGACTGGGGAGGAAGCCCCCTCTTCCATGGAATTTAATGGACTTCAGGGCCTGGCCTCTAGAGGTGCCTGGGCTGGGGAGGGCCCATGTGTAACTTCTCTAGCTTCTCCCCATGGGAGATACAAGGGAAGGATGTCATATGAGGATGGAGGCAGACAGTGCAGATGAAGAAGAGACCCCAGCCAAGGAAGGCAGGTGGCCTCTAGAAGCTGGCAAAGGTTAGGAAATGCATTCTTCCCTAGAGCCTCGAGAAGGAGCACGGCCCTGCCAACACCTTATTTTAGCCCCATGGGACCGCTGTCAGACTCCTGTGCTCCAGAACTGGAAGAGAATCCGCACGTGTTATTTTAAGCCACTAAGCCTGTGGCGATTTGTCACCGCAGCCACCGGAAACGAACACAGCTGGACTGAGGACAAAGGTGCAGACAGGAAGGGGAAGCAATCAGAGATAGAAGCTCGGAATGAGTGAGATGGGGCGGAAGAGTGAGGATGTCATTAGGGCCTGGGCCCAGGGCTGCTGTGTGCCATTTGTAGACCATGAAAGAGGAGGCCCCAAGGGAGGCTGGGAAGAAGCAACCAGAGAGATGACAGGAGTTGACACCTGTTGCTCATGTAGGCAGAGTGGAGTTCCCACTTCTCAGGGAAGGTTCCAATGTCACCTCTGTGCTGATGGCTTCCCCATGTGGCTCTCCTGCCCAGCCCTGTTGCCAGATCCCCATTTGGCCTTGGTTGCAATTCTATGAAAATCATAGGTTGCAACTTGCAAAGGTATAAATGGGAAGCTTGAGTGGGGAGACAGAGGACAGTGTTTCCCAGGGAGATGTGATCAATGGGCTGGCTCAGTTGTAAAAATGGAAAATCCACAAGAGCAAGAGCTTCTCTGTTTTGCTCACCTAGGCATTCCTAGGGCCTCAGCAGTGGCTCTCAACTAGGGTGATTATGCCCCCCAAACGACGTTGGGCAATGAGACCTTTTGGTGAGGCAGCTGAGATCAGGGTGGGGCTACTGCCACCTAGTGGGTAGAGGGCAGGAATGATGCTAAATGTCCTACAGTGAAAGAATAATGTCCCTCAAAGATGTTTGTTTCCTAATCCCCAGAGGAACATCGATTGGTTGCCTTCCGTACAGGCCCCAACCAGAGAT